CAAAGAGATATATATTTGATAAAACAGAATCATTCTGAAAAAAAAAAAACCAAAAAACAAAACCCAAAACAAACAACCAGCTATCTGATCTGAGAGGCACATAGCAATAAAGGAAACAAGATGAAAAGGACTGAATTAATGACAAAGGCCATCACTCTTAAAAAGCTAGATCAAAGACTGGATCTGTTCTGGGATATTTTTATACTTTTAGAAATACACATTTAATAGCTATATAACAAAAATTTATTACTGAAATTCCCTCAGGAAATTGGCATTTCAAATATGATACTTGCTAGCACTAACTCTTTTTTCCAAACAGAATAATTCTTTTTAAAACAATTGCAATTTAATATCATGCAATTTAAAGTGCAATGATTCTTAAAAATCCATATTAGAGCAAAACAAAGTATCATGGTATAATAATTTCAAAAGAATAACTATTCAGATATATTATTAAAAATAAAAGATAGAGGAGCATATACTCTTGTATTTGTGGATACTTTCTCCCCAAAATGAAACCCAATATAAACAAATATGGGAACATGTGCGTCTATTTTCAGAAGATACTTTTATCTAACATATGAAGTAGTGGGAAGGGGAGGGGAGACTCTCATGATTCTGCAACTCTTTGAAAGGACACAATATTTTGAAAAGACTGTTTAGGCACGTACCTCTTCCATATACTTCAATTCCTGAATGAAAAACGCCAATTCCAATGGACGAGGTGTATTCATTCATCCAGTACTAAGGGGAAAGAAAAAGAGACAGAGAAAGAAAGGATTCAGAAGATATAGTCATATAACTTAGCTCCTTTTAAGAGGTTTGTGTTGCCTTTTAGCTATTTCCAAACCCATTTCTTGGCATTTTTTCAGTGTAACTCTGAAACGCCACAATAATGGTTCCCTGGGTCCTTTCTGATTTTGTTTGTGCCATACTCCATTACAGAATGCCCTTTTTGGTCAAGAGGAATAGCTCAATTAACATATAAACACGTTAAGGGTTAAAGTCCAAAAAAATAAAACCCAAGAAATAGGCCAAATGTTGGAAAAACAACTGATTACTGATTATGTCCAAAGTCTGATAATACCAATATTGTTGTTATTATGTGCCGTCAAGACACCTGCGACCACAGCAAGCCTATGTATAACAGTTCTGAAGCCTGCCCTGTCCTGAGCTAGTCTCACAGACTCTGACATCTACCCCCATTTCCCCAGTTGTATCAACCCATCTCCTCTGGGGTCTTCCTTTCCTGCACTGTCCCTTCACCCTTCTGAGCATGATGTTCTTCTCCAAGGACTGGTCCCTCCTGGCCATGAGCCCTAAGAATGTGAGACAGAGCTTCAAAACCCTAGCTTCCAAGAAGAAACTTGGGTTTTATCCTCTCCGAGACAGACCTATATAACAGTGATGCACAAAAAGGAGAATAATTCTATTACTCTTTGGAAAAGGTGGTATGTGATGTGGTTCTTCAAGAACAAATGGATATCCCCCTGACAGAAAAAGGATTTTGGATGGTGGGGAAGTGGAGGGTACCAAGCAAAGGGAAGATACACTGGCAATGTGAAATGAAATTACAGAACATGATTGAAAAGAGGTAAAAGGATATACTGGAGAGAATTAAAATGGAGAAAGCTAGTTCAAAAACACATAAGATTTCTCCTAAATTAGAAATTTCTTTACTTTCCCTAGGTCTATTCAAATGTTAACCTCGGCTCTGGACCCCTAACAGTTTTTCTAGGGTTCAAATTTCCCCAGGCCTAGGATAATGCATATGCTCTGCACAGCTGGAAACAGCAAAAATGAACAAGTCACTTCTTCTCTCAAAAATTACAAGAAAAATTTAAACATTAAACACAAAAATCTGAAAAGAAAGGACTGCCCTACTTTCATTTAAAAAACTTTCAAAACAAGAGTTCAGCAGGAAACAACAAATGCTGGCAAGGTTGTGGAGAGACTGGAACTCTCATTAACACGTTGCCGCACACTTAATTGATGCCTGTGCTTAGAAACACATTTTTTTTTGGTCGTCATTTGCGGCAACGGGTTAACTGCCGGTGGGCATGTAAAATGGTAAAATCACTATGGAGGGCAGTCGAGTGCTTTTTAAAAAAGTTGGAAATAGAAAAACCATTTGACCCAGCCATCCCATTACTGAGAATAACCCTAAAGAAGTCATAGCTATGACTCAAACAGATGTAATTATTCACAACAGCAAAAGGATGGAAATGGTTCAAGTCCATCAACAAATGAATGGACTGAGAAGCTGCAAAACAATGAACTTATAAAACTCTACAGAACACAGGTGGATCTGGAAGACAAGCTGAGTGAAATATCTGTCACAAAATGACAAAGACTGCATAACAATGCTATTAAAAAAATAGGATGTGGGGAAGTGGGGGAAAATGGATAGTGGCCACAGCACTGGAACTGGTGAAAGGAAGGACAACTTGAAAGGAATTAGATATTATTTGTATGACAATCATGCGGAACAAGACAAGCATTACAAAGAGAATTAGGGGAGGGAGGAAATAAATGTATGAATAAATGAAAAAGCATTCTCTTTGTAAACTTTCACTAAAATCACAATAAAAAAATACTATTACTAATTTAAAAAATAAAATAAAACTGCCAAGTATGGTACTGTTGCAGCAACACATCAATCACAAGAACAGAAATACTGGAACACAGCCTTGCACATATACAAATTAGTGCACGATAAACGTGGTATCTAAAAAGAATATGTAAAGGGCAATTAATACATGATAAACACGGCATTTAAGAGAAATAGGTAAAGAGTAAACTATTAAGATATGCTGACAAACTCAATTATGCACAAAGTTCCATCCATCTGAAAAATGTCAATGTGTCTCTAAAAAGAAACACATACTAGAGGAAATAATATAGATCAAAGACCAAACTAGGCAAAACAAAATCTAGAATTTACAGAGAGAAGCATCAACGGATAAGTATTTCTAAGTGTTTACTGCCTAAAACTATATACTGCTGTTGCAGTGTTGTGGACGGGGCTCTGATGGCCATTTCTGGAGGGAGCACTGCCAGTAACCCAAAGCCATGCCTCTGTGGTTGTTCAAATCCACCAAGAGCTCAGCAGGAGCAAGAGAGGCAGGCTCCTCCCATGTGATTTACAGCCTCAAAAACACACCAGAGGGTCGGCTCTGGTCTGTTCCAGCTTGCTGGCAATGACTTTTCCAGCTCACTAGCAAGGACATGGTTTTGTTTTTTAAATTTTTGGTTGTTTTTTAATAGAGGCCAGAGTAGAACTCCCACACTGGGCTTCCAAAGGTGCAATCTCTTCAGAATCTGGTATTTTCTTCCAAAGAACTGTCAATGTATTTGAACTGTCAACCTAAATACTTAACCACTGTGCCCCAAGGCTTCTTGTACAAAGATCTCCAAATGAGATTAAGAAATCAGCCAACACAAGCAAAGAAAATCTGTAGTGCTCCTCACAAAGGTTAGAATAGACTGGGCTTTCAGTACTGTGATACAGCCACCCAATGGCTTTATCATGGAAAGGTGGATGTGCTCTCTACTGACAGGAAATAATTTCCAGGATATATTTAGTGAACCAAAAAAAGCAAGATATAGTAAGGTAACACGTACAGTTATGCTATGGATAGAATTCTGTGTCCCCTTCTCTACCCCAATATGTTATAAATTATAATCTGTAGAAGCTCTGGTGGTCTAGTGGTAAGAAGTTGCATTGTCAACCCTAAGACATGTGGTTCACATTCATCAGCTGCTCAGGAGACAGAAGGGTAAATCTCCACCCAGGCAACTGAAAAGCCTTTGAAAACCAGCTCTAGGGGTCACTATGAGTTGGCTGGACTCAAAGGAACACAAACAACAGACAGCTATAATAACCTCATCTGGGAATAGATTTTGTTAACTAGTGTAGGGTGTGTCTTAATCTCTTTTAAGATATAAACTCACTTACTTGCTCACTGCTGACTGGTGAGTTGGAACTGATCCTCTTAGCAGATTTTCTGAGGCTGTAAATCACACAGAAGACTACCTCCCCAGCAAGGAGCAGCTGGGAGATTTGAACTGCCCGAGGTGCCACCTCTAGGTTGGGAGTTCAATTCCCTACAGACTATACACCTGAGCTCCTTCCAAGGGCACAGCACCTCCAATTCAAGTATTCTGCTCAGCTTCAAAATCAGAAACAACTGTTTCAGGCTGTTTGGCCCAGGACTATGAGATATAAAAGAGGGATGTTAAACAAGAAAGGAAGGAGGCTGGGGTGAGTAAATGCTATGCCACAGGAAGATCACTAAGGAATGAGCAATGGACAAAATTGTCCCCAGGGCTCTGAATTAGGACTCTGAAACTCCTAAACATGAGACCAAGGAGCTCTGATGGCCTTGTGGCGAGAAGCTGGGCTGCAATCCCAACGGCATGTGGTTTGAATCTACCAGCTGCTCCGCAGGAGGAGGAAAGGCAATCTCCTCTCACACAATTAACTGCCTCTGAATACCCACTGGAGGGTCAGCTGTGGATCATTTTCGACTCACTGGCACACAACAACAAATCACTGAGATCACCAGTTATGTGTCAGTTTGCTGTACTGGGTGCCCGTATGCTGCTGTGATACTAGAAACAGTGCCACCAGCATTGCCAGTACCATCAGGGTCACCCATGGTGGAAAGGCTTCAGCAAAACTTCCAGACTAAGGCAGACTGAGAAGCAGGACAAGCCATCACTTCTAATAAACTAGACCCTTGAGAATACTAATACTGGAGATCTGTTCTGGACAGCGAAGGAGGAGGAGTTCCTAGGTTAGACCCCTCAAAGCTGAGTGAAAGCTCTTAGCAGTGAAGAACTTTCCTCTGCTGATGTGGTAAGACTTGACATGAGGAGAAACAGCTGTAAACAATTAATGATAATAATGGGAACTTAAAAAAATGAAATGGAACTTTTTGAAGACTGAGATTCTAGGCACTGGTAAACTGATATGGACTGGCACTGGCCATTTTTAATCAGATAATCATGTCATCTGCTGTGCCAGGACTGATTACAAGTTGAAGAGGAAAAGTGTTACATTCACTATAAAAAAAACAAACATTTAAATATATATGCTGAACTACAAAGCTATCAGTGAACCATACCCATTCAAAGAAGACCTGTTAACACAAATATATTTATGTAAATAATAATTTAAATAGTTCATACATATACATCAACCACCAAAGCCAAAGATGAAGAAATTGAGGATTTTTACTGAATGCTGCAGTCTAAAGTTGAGTGACCATGTAGTCAAGAGGCATTACTAGCAATTGTTTATTCCATGGCCTCCTGAACTCACTTCTTCGGGTGGTAGTTCCATTTCGTTTGTATTTGTGTTTTCACTGGGTGCTGGTTCCCAGCCTCAAGAACTGGACAGGAAAGGCTTTACACAGCCACTGTGTAACTGTGAATTTGTGACACTGGGATTCTCTTCCAGTGGGTCTTCTGGGCTAAGCTCCAAGATTGGGAAGGATGGTATTCGGGGACCCAGTCCTCTATCTCATTTTGGAGTAAGGACTTCCTATCTTTGCGAGGACTTTCATGTCTGTTCAGCTGCCTTATAATTTGAGCTTCAGTTTATTTGGCTGTAATTTGGGTTGGTATCTTCTTGAGCTACTGTGAACATTAAAAGATATACTATATTTGAAAAAAAAAGTGCATTACTAATAACTGGTGACTAGAATGCAAGAGTTGGAAAGGATGGCCTTGGGGACAGA